TCAGCTACCTGAAGGAAAATTTTCCTTCAGGTAGAAGGGACACCAAGCACAATGGGTCCTGAGGTGGGAAGTATGGTGTGCTAAGGAGAAGCTAGCCTACCTAGAAGAATATTCTTGGTTTCGGGCCCTTGTTAGCATGATGATAAACCCTTCTTGACTTATTTTTCACAACTGTTAAAAAATCAATGGAAAAATAAACAAGCCATCATGAAGAAGAAGAGAACAAAACATGACTAAGAGCAATGCTATCTTTGGTGACCATGATTGCTACCAAGTCATCATATGCTTCATTCCCTTCACATGTATATTCCTCGATAGCCTAATGTACTTTCCTTTCAGTTACATTTCCTATTTTAAAATTACAAGAAAACTCCACAAATCTTGGATTAAATACAACCAAATGCTGTTACTAGACAAAAACGTTACATAGTTTTATATGGCCTACTCAAAGATATGAGAGCACGATATACTCAAGAAATACTCTGTTAGTTTGTGGATTATAAAGAAGGGGGACATATTTACAGGCTTGCAAAGTATATAAGACAGGGCCATGAAATTTTATATAAGGTTTTATTTTATTAGTTTATTAAAAGTCACGTATACGTGAAGCAAAACATCTAGTTGCAGACTGAAGATTTGATTAAATAAGGGAGCTTGCTCAAATAATCTGATTATCTTCAGATCTGGAAACAAATGGGTGAATTGCTGCCTTATGAGAAATGGCAGTTAATATGCCACAAACACAAGACTGAAGGACTCTGTGAGTTGATGTTAGCTAAGTAGAAAGCATTGGTGTTTCGTGTATGTTTTGCAACAAAATGAATGATTCAAAGGTAGACTCAGAGGACAGAAGATCATGCTTATGAAGATGAGCATGTTGATGTTCATTGAAAGGCAATTTTGTCTATTCTTTGAAGAAATATGAATAAATGAGATTTCCTGGGCTCTTGTTATGTAGAATGAAGTATCAAATATTTGTGTTAACCTCTGTTAACAAGATCATGTCCTGAGGTGGCTTTGTTCACAGAACTGTTTGAGATGGAGGAAGTGGGCACAGTCAGGTAAGGAGGTGACCTGCTGGGACCATGAAGACATTAAGAAGCAGAAGTCAGATTTGTAGCAGGCAGGGCAACTCCTGGCAGGGAGGACTGAGCTTGGTAAGAGACATAGGGTGTGTCCTTTACTCATTCTGTAGCTTCAAGGAGGTCTTCAAATTCTTGCTTGTTTTTTCTCATATCCAGGTGTGAATATTTATGGGATTATCATATCTTTTGGTGTATATCCTATAATGCAGCACACTAACCATTCTCTATAGCTTGAACAGAAGGTGACTGAAATGTTTGTGCAAAGTCTTGGCACATATTATAAGATGGTTTAAAAATACAGGCTCTTTGTATGATGTGGAACTTCATACATGTGAACATATCAAAAGAGCCAGCCTCACAAAACTATCATGCATTTCAGAGAAGGACAAGTCTCCTGCCCTCCTGTTGATGCTGGTACCTTGGATTTCTAATTTAATTCTGAGCGAAGTCTCAGCTCAATGCCCAGATCTGGACCTCTGGGACTAGTTTATGATGTTCCCTTGTAAAACTGTAACTTGTCTTAGAGCAATATATCACCTCTGTTTTGATTAATTAACAATATATAGAGAGAATGCTGACTCCAAGTATGACAAAGTACAGTAAGCCTGATAGTCCCTTTATAAGCACCATGGCTGCTTATTGGGTAAGAATATGTGTGAGAGTCTTACTATCAGCTTAAGCTTCTCTGTCAAGGTTTCCCTGCATAGGAGATGTAGACTTAGACCTGGTAGCAGGACTAAACAGGAATGATCAGACTGCTTTCCTCTACTCTATATTATTTTTTAATTTTTCTACTTCAGCACTATACACAAGAGTGGGTATTAAAAACAAAATAATTCTCTGTATTCAGTTTGCAGTCACAAACACATACACATTTTTCTTCTTCAAATATTTTGGTTATTAGTCAGATAATAGAGACAAATATAGCCATATAACATCTATGTTTTTAATGCCTGAAGCTCAGAGATGCAAAATAATTTATATGAAGAATCACAGACGTTTCAATCGAGTGAATGGATTTTCTTCTCTGTTGCCGCATAACCAGGCTTTTCCAGCTGATCTGCAGTCCCACCTACTCTCCTGAAACCATCTCTGTCAATCACCAGTGAGGGTCTTGAAAGCCGGTTGCTATAGTCCTCAGCAACTTTGGGAGAATTCCTGGTGCATCATTTCTAAAGTTCTTTATCTACTTCTCCAAGTCTTTATAATTCTATTATGTAACAGCTTTGCTGGGATCTCAGACAACCCTCCTTAATGGACTAGATGAATTTTTTTCCAGCATAACATACACCTCTTTGCTTTTGAATTTCCTGAAATGGCAAACTATGCTGATTACTTTTTCCTGTAAGAATGTCTACATCTCCTATTTTATTTCCTCCCTTCCCTTCTGCCCATGCCTCTGTTTCTCTTTCTTGTAAATGGACACTCACCTACTCCACTGGAGCAATTTCTGAGATTCTGACTTTCAAATAAGTGAATTTAAGAATGAGGTGGTGATCTATTATCACCCTTATTCTGAATCTTCATTCTTCATAAAATTCACATTTGCAAACGAACATTTTTATGGAAAAAAACGAAGTATAGGTGCTTGTTAAAATGGTGAGTGTACGTGCCTCTGCCATTCCTTTGTCTCATTTGGATCGGTATTCACTTAGCATTTAGCTCACCAAGTAGTTCAATAAGGAGGACTGGATGTCGACTTCTGAGGTTCCATCAACAGAGCTTAGAACTAGTGAACATGACAAGCATTTTCACCCAACCGAGTGGAGTAAATAGAAACTATGGAAACTTGAGATGAGGGTCAACATACCACGTGCATAAAGTGGTATTTTTCTTTGCCACAGATCACTTAAAACTCAGTTAGATGGGTGCTGCTATAATGAAACTGCCACCTCCTGCTGACCGTGAGGGGAGAACCATGTTGGGGGCAACCTGTCCCCAGGCCTCTTCATGACACAAAGAGGACACACTGATATACTCTGTAAATCTTAGATCACCAGTGTTGAAAGTCAAAATATGTTTCCAAATATGTTAGAATTTGAACTATTTACTATTATAGGTTGATTAGGTGATTATTTTTATTTTTATTATTTATATTATTTTTATTCATGAGCTAAGACATAGGATGTAAAATAAATTTGTGTGCATACACATACATGAAGCTTTCAGCTAACAAAATAGCTGGAGCACAGACAACAAGTATTTTAATATGATTTCTGAGAAATGATTACTCAAGGTCAGCATATTCACTGAAGAAAGAGAAGGAAGTTGGGCTTTTATCTATCTTCATTACAAACTCAAAGGCACAATGCCCTCAGTGGCGCTTACCCATAAACAACTTGCATAATTAGTAATATTTCTTCTTTAAGTACTTTGAATAGAGAAGGGAGTTGACAAGGTTTATGGGAATCACAGAAAAATATTGACCAGGCATGTTCCCGATACCATCCTTGAAGCAAAGACAGCATAACTATTGTGTCTTATAATATTTTGATCTTCCAGATATTTTAAATGTGAGTAGAGAAATTTGAATATAAGGCATGAGAATTTTCTAGACTGTTTAAACTGGTAGGTTCTAGATTGTTTGGCTTTCTACAAAATTACTGCATTCATGCCATCCTGTGATTGCATACATGGTTTTGTCATCGGAAGAGGATGTAGAAATGTCAGTAATGGTTTCTCACATAGCTTCCTCCTTCCCTGCCTTTGCTGTCAACCCCACTAGAGTCTTCTCATTTCTTGGTGCTCACATGGCTGAGTGTTCAGAAACCAATTCAGCATAAGAAAGAAAAATGGCTTTACCATCACTGTAAACATCTGAGGGATGAATGAACACTGCCTACCTGCTTCCGTTCTGTCATCCAGAAAGTTACCTAAGCAACACTGAATCTATTGGCAGACACAGATGAAAGAATCATGATGAAGATGAATGGCATCTCAAATTGTTATCAATTAGACAGTACATGATATTAGCTAGAATCCTGGAAAAGTATAAATCTTGGTTTAGGGAACTGGAACTCAAGAAGTTGGTCTTGTATAAAAATGATATAAACTTTCTATACTGCCTTGTTTAGGAGCTAGCTGCAGACTCAAACATGATCCAGGAAGTCTTCTCTGTATGACCCTGAGCATGACATAAAATGCCTCTTAGCATCATCTCCTCTCTTGGTACAAAGATCATTGTGAAAGAATAAACAAATACTGAGCAAAGTGGGTGACACTTTTCAATTTTTAAAATATTACCTTGGACAAATCATAAAGCCTCTTTTTTGTATTCATGAAATGGAATAATATTGATGCCTTATTCACACTGTGAATGTCAATGACAGTAGGAATAAAACTGAAGTTTATTCAAGATACTCACATGCAAATATATAGAAGTATGATTAAATAGGAAGGTATTGAAGGAGAATAAAACAGAAACATTTAAAATACAAGGATGTAAAAGGTACCCAGAGAGATAAAACTAGCTATTAAAAATTATCCCAATTTAACCGAACTGTAAATGATGCTTACAAACTTCAGTAATCTGCTTTTGTCTAGTAACTTGATCTGAACAATGCCCGTCTCTTAGCCATTTCACAGTATTGTACAAACTGGGGTTGTAAAGGAAGATGCAGAGGCAGGCTTAAGCCCACATCCATAACCTTATTAACCTAGAGTTATACATTTAGCACAGGGCCTCTCAGGAAACATCCCAATTAGCAAGACGACCCCCCCCCCCCGTCCCTGCTGTGGCAGTGTGGAATGTGTGACAGGGTAGTTCCTGAGAATGCCTTAAGCTTTCACAGGGAAAGTGGTAACACCACACTTTAAATGCAGATCTGCCTGAAAAAGAAGCCCATAGTCCTCTCCATCATCCCTCTGTAGTTTTTTTTTTAATCAAAACCTCACAGGTGACAAGGTGACACTTACTCTTCTTTGCTTCCTCTAGCTTGTCCTTGGCCATTTTCTCTGCCTGCAGGAGCTGTTGGATCCCCTGAGACTGGCTGGTCATGGTGCCTTGCTCCAAGGAAGGTGACTTCTGTGGAAACTGGGACACACAGCTCCTTTTACCCTCTAATGGATCACCACAGAATTCAGCTTGTTTTGCCAACAGTGAACAAACACTGAGCTGTTTGTCCCAAACTTGCCTGATTGAACCAGAGAGTTAAGTGCCAAGGTGAGCTCAAGGAGGAATCCAGAAAAACAAGGTAGTCACTCTAAGAGACATCAACTCTATATAAACAAGGCACCTCTAATGGGCTGTTGAGTTTACTTCAAAGGAATGGGCCAGGCATCTTTAGGTACACTAGTCCGTCATACATCCCCAAATGCTGCGTTGTTGCTGCTCTACATTTCAGGTTGCAGCATCCCCCTGCTCCTGGTGCCTATACTACTTGGCTCGGGCCTTTCTCTGTCTCCGATTGAGGAAATATTTGCTTGAGGGAAATTGATTTTCCTTCTTTGAGGGGGCAGATTTTCTGGCTTTGTTGGAGAGGACCTATTCTCTTCCAGGCCTCAGGTGATAGGAAAGAAAGAGCAAATGGGGCACATTGTGTCCTTCTCTTGTGGTGCTTTGCTGTGGTTCACGATGGCCTCACTACAGTGTCTAAATCAACAATAAGAGATATTATTACCACACACTTGAAGTTAATTTAAGCTTGCCTTTTCTATTTCTTGGTGTCTATGTACACCTATGTACAGTGTACAATAATGCCCTCATATTTCATCTGATTCTGTCCAGTAACAGACAAATGAGAAAGCCATCACAGCAAACAATGCAATGTAACATTTATATGTAACCCCCCATTTTATTGGAAAGGAGGGGTAAATTTCTTTTTAACTCAGACTATGATGTACAGATTATTTTTTCATGGCCTTTAACTTCATAAGTAGCAGGTCTGTCACCTTGTCTTTTAGGGTCCCTTTCTTTCAATGGGCTCCTGGATTTAGAAATAATTGTAAAACAAACCAAGAGCTAAACCTTTTTAGGTTTTCTTCCCTTGTTGAATTATATATATATATATATATATATATATATATATATCCTTATTCTTTATTGATTTCTTGGGGATTCCACATCACGCACCACCCCAGTCCCACTTACTTCATATTCCCTCCATATCTGTCTCCTCACCCCTGCATCGTCCTCCCCAAAGAACCCCCCAAATTAGTTCAAAACAAAACAAAGGAGAAAAACACCTCACTCTTCATCTTTCCTTCCTTTTCAACACTTCTTCCTTCCTCCTAGTGGCCCTGGGAGCTATGGTGTATTGTGCATTATACCCTTTTGTCAATCAGGCTCACCTGCGAAAGTTCATTGTATTGAGGTTTGGTGTGGTTCAAGACCTCTGGCTGTTGGCACACCATCATCATTGGGCTTTCACTGCAACTCATCTTAGTTATCCTGCTGTTGTCCTGAGTCATGGAGATCCTGCAACTATCTTTCTGCAGGCTCAGATGTTAGTATTCAGGCATCTTACTGACCTGTCCTTGGGGTTCTGACAGGATGTGCCCTCAGCTGCAGCCACTAATAGCACCACCTATGCTCATTCACTACATTCCCTTCTAAAAGGGCCCTGCCCACCCCTTCCCTCCCTCCCTCCCTCCCTCACTCTCTCTCTCTGCTCTCTCTCTGTCTCTCTCTGTCTCTCTCTCTGTTTCTCTCTGATTCTCTGCCAGTTTTTCTGTCTCTCCTCTCTCTCTTCTCTTCTGCTGTTCCTGTTCCCAGAGGCCAGTCTTCCCTCTCCCCTCCCTCCTTTCCCATTCACTTTCCCCCAGTAAAAAAACCCTCCACTCATGCTCTGTCCCATGGTGTCTTTCTCTAGCACACTGCTTTTTAAAATTACAACAATAGATGTAGTAGATGTTAGGGTGGGCCACCCCAAGGACCAGGATGTAGGCCTGGATTGTAGCTGAGCTGGTCAGTATAGGCCTCCAGGACCACCCCCATCAGGCAAGGGGCAGAGCCAGCTCTCTCATGCCAAAGATGACGAGGGGGTGAGGGGTCCAGCTCTCCCATGAGGGATGGGACAAGTTCCTCTGCTTCAGTGTCTATCCAGGGGCACGGCCAGCTCTCCGAGCATCGGGAGGCAAGCTGGCCACCCACATCAGCCTTTTACTCACCGCCTTCACTTTGTCAGTTCTGCCTCTTTCCACAGCGCATGAGCCATTCTGCTTCTCTTTCTTCTCATTTCGGCACCATATATTTGCTCTTCATAATGGTACCTTCCTGTGGATGCCATCAGCCAGCCAGGACTCGACCCAGGCTGGCCCCTGGAAGTCTTTCATCCACCTGAGGCAAGTGGATGTCTTCAGCCGCCCAGACTATGAGGACACAGGCCGGGCCCTTTTCAGGTTTTAAAGATTATTTGTTCCTAATCTTTTTTAAGTGTCTCATTTATACTAGTGGCATTGCAGTGTGTGTGTGTGTGTGTGTGTGTGTGTGTGTGTGTGTGTGTGTGTGTGTATCAGCCTTGGCAAATCTTTCCAAGGTTTTAGGCTTTTTTTCCTCACATATGATGTTTTTTTCTCCTTTTTAAAAATTTAAATTAGAAACAAACTTATTTTTATATATCAATCCCAGTTCCCTCTCCCTCCCATTATCCCATGCCCCACACCGACCCCCATTACATTTCTGTTCTGCTCCAAAGAAAGGATGATTATTGGGGAAGTCCTTTGTCAATAAAGCACTGTCTGGCCAATTGGAAATCTAGATAGGAGGGACTAGGAGTCCAGAAGGACTCTGGGTAGGAGAAACACAAGAGAGTCGAGATGTAACGCCATTGGGGTAGGAAGCCCGGAAACCTCTCCGGTAAGAGACATACTTAGATTAACAATTATGGGGTAATTACTTAAGTCAGAGCTAGCCAGTAAAAAACAAGCAAGGCCAACAGCTTCATAATTAATATAGTCTCCTGTGTGTTTATTTGGGGACTACAATGCGGCAGAGCCCAGGCGGCTGGCGGGGGATAAACCAAAGCGGCTAGCAAAGATATAGCTTCTCTTACAGATGATGCCTTCTATGAGGGATCATCAAAGTCTGTCACATCGTTTGGGGCAGGGCCTAGGGTCTCCCCTGTGTGTCTAGGCTGGGAAAGTAACCCTCTATGAGGAATGGGCTCCCAATGTACATTTGTACACTAGGGATAAATCCTGTGCCATTACTGGTGGCCCCCAAGAATGCCCAGGCCTCCTAAATGACACCCCTGTGCAGGGGTTCTGGTCCTGTCTTATGCTGGTTTCCATGAGCTCCCACTTGTTCAGGACAGATGTTTCTGCGGGCTTCCCCAGCATGGTTTTGACCCCTTTGCTCATCACTCCTCCCTTTCTACAACTGGATTCCAGGAGTTTGGCTCAGTGATTAGCTGTGGGTCTCTGCTTCTGTTTCCATCAGCTACTGCATGAAGGCTCTATGATGGTATATAAGGAAGCCATCAATCTCATTATAGGGGAAGGGTATTATTTATTTATTTATTTATTTAGACAAATATCATTTTTTTATTTAAATTAGAAACAAGGTTGCTTCACATGTCAATTCCAGGTCCCTCTCCATTTTCCTCCCCTCCTCCCACACCCTCTCACCAACACCTCCAATAATCCCTCATTTCTCCACAGAGAGTGAGGCCCTCCATGGGGTTTCCATAGTCTTTCATTTCATCCTAGGCAGGGCTTAGACCCTCCACCAAGAGTCCAGGATGAGAGTGCATATCTCATTGTTGGATGGGAGTCCAAAATCCATTTGTATACTGGGGATGAATACTAATCTATTACCCAAAACTCAATAGATTACCTAGGCCTCCTCACTGACACCCACATTCAGGGGGCCTTGATCAGCCTCATGCTGGATTCCCAGCCATCAGTCTGGGATTCAAGAGCTAACCTTTGTCACGCCAGCTGTTTCTGGGGTTTAAACCAGCCCAGTCTTAACCCCTTTGCTCATCAGTCCTCCCTCTCTGTCACTGGATTTCTTGAGTTCAGCTCAGTGTTTAGCTGTGGGAGTCTGCCTCTGTTTCCATCAGCCATTGAATGAAGGCTCTGTTTCCCAGACTCTCTGGCCGTGGGATTGTAGGCTGGCACTCCCCAGATCTATGTCTAAATCTATATATGAGAGAGTACATGCCATGTTTCTCATTTTGTGACTGGGTTACCTCACTCAGGATGGTTTCTTCTAGTGCCATTAATTTGACTGAAATTTTCAGGATTCCATTGTTTTTTTTCTGAATAGTAATACATTCTGTAATTGTACCACATTTTCTCTATCCACTCTTTAGTTGACGGGCATCTAGGTTGATTCCAAGCTCTGACTATTACAAACAATGCTGCTATGAACATCGTGGAAGAGATGTCCTTGTTGTATGAGTGTGAATCTTTTGGATATATGCCTAAGAGTAGAGTTGCTGGGTTTTGTGGTAGGCTTATTCCCATTTTTCTGAGGAATCTCCATACTGATTTCCAAAGTGGCTGCACAAGTTGGCACTCCTACCAGCAGTGGAGGAGTGTTCCCCTTTCACCACAACCTCTCCAGCATAAATTGTCTTTGGTGTTTTTGTTTTTAACCATTCTGACAGGAGAAAGATGTTATCTCAGAGTTGTTTTGATTTTCATTGTCTAGGTGGCTAAGGATGCTGAGCACTTTCTCAAGTGCCTCTCAGCCATTTTAGACTCCTCTATTGAGAATTCTCTATGTAGTTCTGTAGCCCACTATTTAATTGGATCCCTTGGTGTTTTGTAGACTTGCTTCTTTATTTCTTTGTAAATTTTGGATATCAGCCCTCTGTCAGATGTAGAATTAGTGAATATTTTTCCTATTCTGTGGGGTGTCTTTTTGTCTTGATGACTGTGTCCTTTGCCTTACAGAAGCTTCTCAGATTCAGGAGGTCCCATTTATTAATTGTTGATCTCACTGTCTGTGCTACTGGTGTTATATTCAGGAAGCTGTCTCCTGTACCATTTTTTCAAAGATACCACCCAATTTCTCTTCTAAGAGGTTCGGTGTGGCTGGATTTATGTTGAGGTCTTGGATCCATTTGGACTTAAGTTTTCTGCATGGCGATAGACATGGATCTATCCACATTC